AACATGTCAATCTCATCAATAAAATATTAACTACGGACTGTAGCTTTAGTCGCACCTCATTGACTTTCCTATCTAACTATGGACAAAATGTCAAATGCTATTCTAAGCCTCATATCAGAAATATTGGCTTGTGAGAAAGCAAATGGAGGGAAGTGACCTCTTGCAAGTAAATATGCAAAACCTAACATAAAAACACCACAACTACAAGGATCCTCTTGAGCAGGAATCCCATCTACTGATGTATCAAAGTATGATGTGGGCCCGACCACATGATATCTTTCGTGAAGATTGTGTCGATGAAACTCCGCTTCGAAAAAATCTTCCAAATGTTCAAGGACTGAAACACAGTCAACACGAGGGAGAGAGTCTATGAGGTGGAATTTATAGTTCGGCCCGTCTATGCTGACATAAGCTAAGGCCTTGTAATTTCCAAAATGAAGAGGAATAATCACTAAGTCATAATAAAAAAGATTTGTGTCCTTCACCCATTTCATCCCTTCGGAATATGCAGTTTCAAACGTCGAAGCAACCCGAGTTCATGTTTTTGGTTGTCTATCTGTTTCGCTAGCAGAGCTGTCATCCACAATAGATAAACTGCAACCTTCGCGATGCAATTTCTTCCCTTCTCTTAGGCTTATTCCAACATCTTTAAACATTCTTAGGGCAGCTGGCTTCATAGATGGAAATGTCATGGGTGTAAGTCTTCTTCTCTCGTTTTAAGGCAATAACGGCAAAGTTGATAAGACTTGCAAGCCACGGAGAATGATATTCTTCTCACTCTGCCTTTGCGAACGTACGTGTGTCGTTTTCCACAGTTCTTTTCGTCACCCTGCATGTTCATCAATATAAAACGACAATGATTGACAAGACAAAACATTATGAGTTTAAGTTCAATTTTCCACATAATTGCAAATAAGAGATACACAATATTCTACTTCATTTCTTCTCATCACCGAGCGTACGGTTGCAAACCTAGGCAGAAAATTAGTTCCTATGAGTGCATGTAATATACCTCCTAATCCGCATACAGTATTAGATATTCCCTTCGAGATAAGTACGTGCTCACCTCGGTGGCTCACTGACACTTTGTCTTCAACACGACCTTCTATCGCACCATGCGATGGTGTAAAAGAAGATTCGTCAATAGATATCACGAGGTTAGCAGACTGTTGTCCTTCTGATTTTGCAAGCATAAGTTCAGGCTGTACAAGCGTATGTTGCTCCTGTGTACTTAGTACTATATGTCCTTCATCCTCTTCGATGACCTGTACATTGACAGTTTCCTTTGCACCTGCAGTCGCACTTTCATTCTTCATATCCTGAGAGACTTCATGCTCATCTTTCTCAGCTGGCATATCCAACGATGGCATCTCGAATTTTGCAAGTGCACCAGTATTATCCACTTGCGTAGTAACACTCTCGCTCGCCAACACAGTGGTCGCCCAAACTTGGTTATCCGGAAGGACCTCCTCGACACATTTCGACAGTTCTCCATGACTTACGCCCTTGCACTGCCGCTTGCACTGCCGCTTGCTCCCAAATCCTTGCCACTTGCATCGCCTCTCGATCCCCTGCCATGTGCACCGCTTGGTCCTAGTCCCAGAGGCGAACCCGATCCCCTGCAATGTGCACCGCTGCTTGGTCCTCATCCCAGAGGCGATCCCGATCCCTTGTCATGTGCACCGCCGCTTGGTCCTGATACCTTTCCCTCTGTTGGTCCTGATACCATTCCCTCTGTTGCTTGACGCCCTTGACACATTTCGTGTTTTTGCAGTTGACCATGAGTTATTGGCTTTCCACTTGCACCGACGCTCGGTCCCAGGCCCTTGCCACTGGCACCGCCCCGTGGTTCCGATTCCTTGCCATGTTCACCACCGCTTGATCTTGTTCCCTTGCCACGCACACCGCCGCCTGATCCTGATCCCTTGTCAGTCGGATCGCCGCTCGCTCTTTTCCTTTCCCCAACTTTGTCTTGAAGTTCCTCTTCGATACGCCAATTATATCCAAAAGTTGGGCTTGTTTCTCGATCATAAAACTCTTCCAGATACTCAAGTCATTGAGATGTTTTGAAATCCTGAAAAATTTATTCTCTCCTTGCATCCAGTCTTGATTGAGAAACCTTCGGATTAGGTCGCAATAATCGCTTGCAATCTGATTTTTGGCGTGTGTGACAAACTTGGATTCTGGCATACGTCTGTGGAGGCAAAATTGTCACTCCCCTTCTTCTTTTATAGCCATTACCCAGTTCCCTCTCGCCAATGCAGGTTGGAAGTGGTGGGGGTGCCATATAATGTGATGACCCCATACATCGTCAGGCATCATCGTATAATCGTCTCGGCACACAATTGGTCCAGGAAGCTGTGCAATGTCCGGAGGGATCCTGTCTCCAATCTCGTACTCCAGAGGCTCAGACGGAGGTTGTTGTGGAGTTTGAGAGCGTAGCAATTCCAAAACAACAGTTGGGCTTTGTGCAAGTGCTGACAGACTTGCAGTAATCTATGGGGACAGCATTGGTTGCACCCTTGGACTCGGGTCATGTGCGAGTGCTTACATACTTGCAATAACCTTTGGGGAGAGCATTGCCTGCACCCTCGGATCATCCCGAACTGCGCCGGAAGGTAGCGATGTTTTGTTGCCCGCCATGTGAGAAGGTGTAACTTGCACAAGAGAAGAAGTTGAGGGACGATTCCGAGTCGGTAACTGGTCCGTTAAAACTGCCATACTTGAAGCCCCTCCAGAACCGGACGATGTGCCCAACGCACCCATCTTCTGCGAAGCCGAGCTACAAGCTTTTTGCCTCGCATCTGCCAAAGCTGCTCACTTTCTTCTTCTGAGTCCTCAGCATCAAAACCTTCCCCAAAACAAGTTGCATAACATGCGATTGTAAACGCCCCGATGTGTTCGTCAAAGTACATCATCTCCAAACGGTCTAGAAATGCAACTTCCGTCTCCGTTGGTGCCTTATGATACCCCCTCAGAAGTGATTCCATTTTTCGCCTTCTGACGACATACGCACGTTCGCCTCTGTTTTGTGGCTTAGTCTCGAAAAGGAACTCCCGAATGTTGACAATGTTTTGGCCGACTTTATAGACGAGATCACGCCCTTCATCATGTTGAGAAGGCGGCTTAATAAATTTAGCGTAGTAACCTCCACTCACGACCATCCTGTTGACGAATTGAACGAGAAACTCGAATTTCACACCGTCCCCTTCCAGAACAATGCAATGACAGTGAATCTTTAACAACTCTCAAATCAACGCCGCATGACCTTTTCCCAGGAAAACAACCGCCTCATCCGCAGGACAAAAATGCTCTAATGTTTCCACCATCGCATTTGGCTCCCTTTCCATACCTTCGTACACAAATTTCTCCTTTGACTCCATACCTGCCATTTTCAACTTCGTGGGCGTGAAGTTCTTCTCCACGACATCAGTTAACATTTTTGGCTTTCTCTCTTTGCGTACAAGTGATGATAAGTCACCCGCCTGCTCGCCAGATGATCGATCTGCAGCTGGAGTGCTTGTTGGAATGTCTTCAAGCAAGAAAATAGTGTTGTGGTGATAATCCCCATCGTTGGAGTAGTTGATGACAACCATTTCTATCTGTGTCCTCCAAAGGCAAGTTCGCAACCTTATATGAATGCTTCGCCTTTGTTTGTTGCTGACGAGTCCACTTTAGAAGAGACAAGTGAATATCCCAACGTGTAACTCGCTTGAAAAATGTAAACTCGCAAGACCGCGGAACGAAGCACAATAATGTCCAATAATCACCACCTAGTTTTCCCATAACTTCCATAGACCATCAAAGACTTCTTCAGTCCACATGCCCATCTGGGTTGGGTGACACAAATCCAGCACGGCCGTGAGGCAACTCAGATGTTTGACGACTCTATACATTTCCTTGGAATCCATCTCGTCTTAAATATCGCTTGGATGTTTTTGGAATGGGACGAAAACAGACTTCACGTTCTGTGTTTGGAAATGTATATATTTCGCCTTGCCCGACATTCTTATGCTTTGCGAACCCCTGGTTTCTGATCTGCGCAGTAGATTGTTGACAAACTGCACGAACTCTTCGGGACACTTCGCAGCAAGTGATGCTGTTTCTCCTTTTTCCTCCTCTCCTCCAAGTGTGGCCGGGAACGTTCGCACCCAATTCATGTCTTTGAAATGGCAACGCTAGTCGATCCACCTCTCGGACGTCAATCCTTGATTCCGGTACTTATCAAACACATCGGAAAGGTTCTCGAAGAATGGTTCCGTCCACTCTGACGACTTCCTGTGAGGGTCAGAAATGAAGATGAAGTAGTGAAACATCCTCAACATTGCTCTTTCAATCTTCACCATTTCCGCGTATGTCTCCGTTAAATGTTTCCCGACACTTTGAGCAGCTCTACTTTGCTTAGGAGTCAGTATTACGTTGCCTGTGAGAATGTCTCGCAACAGTTGAAGCCGCTCACGCCTCCCAAGCGCTGAAAAAATGCTTTCACGCTCTGATATCCGGATTGTGCACAGCCACGAGGTAACCCAGTCTTTTGGTACCCTGAACCCAGTGTACCGGAAACCTAACTCCACCTTTCAACTCAAATCCGGGTCCAGCCCTCGGTGCCTTCCCTAATTCACCTTGTTTGGTAGCAGGCTTCACAACATCTCTCCCCGACAATTGTCTAGCTTCCCAAGCGGCGTACACTTGTTTCACCTTTTCGAAAACGTCATCTGTCGCCCTTGCCAATAACATGTAGGGCTTGAGGGCGTCGGACCACTGACTGCTCGATTGAGTAGTAAGGGACATGTCAACCAAATGATTAATCCCGGTCAAACGAAGAGCCTCTCCTGCAAACTTTCTATAATCTGCATTTTTCACTTCCGCCGCAGAGCCGCCTTTAGCTTTAGGACAGTTCGATGCGTGCCACAACTTCCGTATGTTCTGGATGACCACGATCTGGTGCGGTGGGGTATTCCATTTGTCCTTGGCGTTCTGTAAAGTGCTCAGCGTGCCGTAATTGTTCATGCTCTTATCCGGATAATAAACAGGCCTCGCAGTCCAGCGATCCAATCAGAGCTCTTGTGCGATGTCAGGGCGTTCAACAAAACACCTTCTTGCCGCCGCCACGTTATGCGGACCGCACAGAGGGTAGTAGTAGTACTTGTTCACAGAGCCGAGGTCGAATTCATCGGGCAGCACCCTCCTTGCTCTCACAATCCTCCCTGAAGCGTCAGTATGCATTGTATCACGGAGGGCAACCAACAAAAGGACAGGCTTTTCATACAATGCACAAACATTTACACCAGCAGCTCCAGTCGTTCTCTCTCTGATAGCAGCCTCACCCGATGCAACCATTGCGTCATAAATGTCATCAATCGTCTGCTGCACAAGATAGCGTTGATTGTATCTGAATTCCCCGTCGGGGATATCCAGAATTCTGTCGAACTTGACAAAAATGAATTCCATGTCTGGACACTGGTTCCCATGCTCGTCCAACTCAAGGAAGAAGCCTTTGCTGAGGACACCAGAAGAAGCATCCGATGGTACATTTCGCAAACTTGGCGGCCTAGTAACTGTCTTGCCTGCAACCTCTTCATCCGATTGTGGTTGTTCCGCAGGAAAAACGGAAGTCTTTTCCATAACACCACCCTTTGCCGTTTTTTTCTTTGGCTGCTGCTTTTTCTTCGTGGCCGCCTCAGTCTCCCGTGTGCACTGGACCGCCTCATCCACGGACAATAATTTCAATTGTCTTTTTTGACCCGCTTCCTGCTTACTCCGTTTGCTATCCAAAACACTTCTCCTCTCCTGCGTGTGCTTCCTCTTTCGCTCGGCAAGCCCTGCAGCATTTGTATGCGCAGTCACAACCACTGTCTCGTGGTGCACCCTCCCTCGTGTTGGATGCACATCCCCCTCACATCCTTCGTCGTTGCCCCCATATCCGAGTCCCCCTGCCAGACCAACCTCTCTACCCAATTCGCTGATAGTGTGCTCAGTGTCGTCATCCTGTCCAACCACTTTACTTGTTTCCCCATAGCGCCTCGTCATGCCACCGACACCCACCGCATACTGTTCCTGTCCTTCTGCTCGTTCCGAATATTCCTCGCTGTTCTCGTCATCATCATCTTCAAAATATTCACGGGCTTTCTCTGCGCGGCTTGGCGCAGTGTAGTCGCAGCGCTGCCGGCTCACCAAAGGGAGAGGTCCCTTGGTAGCTGCTACATAGCGCGGTTGGCTGCCCAAGGCAACTGATGCTTTGGTTGTCGTTGGCCTGGACTTCACAGGGGCTGACGGCACGACCAGTCCACAGTACGGACCCTTCTCTCCAATCTGCCCAGCTTTCGGAGTCGGCGGTGTGTCGCTGATCGTGATTGAAGGCCCAGTCTCCACGGTTTTCGAAAGCACGCATTTAGGCTCCGATATGCGGTCTTCTGGATGCACAACCGGCTCTACGCCAGCGATCACATTACTGTCGAAAAACCCGAGGACGTCGACGAGGTTAGGCAACTTCACTTCCGTACTGGGTGGTGTGTTGAATACATCAACGAGCGACTTGCCATATCCTGCGTGTTTGGCCCATCGAAGAGCGACGTGTTTAACATTCGACATCCTTTCCCCTCTTCCATTCAGGACCTTCGTCAACTCGAACATTGCAGACGGTGCATGTTGTCCACTCCACCTCACCAGGCCGCCAACCTGCACAATATTTTCTTTTATGACCACGTATAGAACAAGGCCACTCGATGGTTCTCCGATCTCCCCCACCCAGTCCAACATCCAGAACTTGTCCTTGTGATCAACCACGGGCACATCGTCCCGCCGACCCGCGGCAGTCGTTTCACCAGACAGTTTACGTCCGGGCACAACGTCCATTGCAGATCTTCCCTGCCGCGGACCGTGGAAGGCCCACTCCGTGGAACCGGAGTGCCTGTGGAAGGCGCAACCCGCGGAACCGGGGTGCGTTGGCTCTTAGTCCCCGACGTCTCCTGACTCCCCCCTCCAGCAGTCGGCGTTCCCTTCAATTTTTTCGGAGATTGTTCCATGCTCCCATAACTCTTACTTGCTCTTCATTTACTTGCCTTCCCCTCTCGTTCCATGTTTTGCAGCGTTGTCGAATCTGAAAGCAACACAACACATCACCGCAAAGCCAAATATAAGAAGGTCGCCCAACATTGGCATGGCACGACGAGTAGAAAAGTGAAACGTTTTAGATAGTGGTAAGGCAGCGCAACTCGATCGTGGCAAGGCAGCCCTGGAGATGGAGTTCCAATCGACCGCGATCGTGTTCAATTCGACCACGATCGTGCTCGCCTAGACTCGACCCTGTTCGACGCGATTGTGTTCGTGTTCGACTCGATCGTATTCGACTCGATCGTGACGGGCCAGCTCAATCGTGTTCGACTCGATCATGGTGGGCCAGCGTGACCCAGAAGATCGCGATCGTGCTCATGACCCAGAGGCGTGCTCGCGATCGTGGCAGGCCATGGCCCAGCTCGATCGAGTTCGACTCGAACGTGGCGGGCCAGCGCGACCCTTGAGGCTAGCTCGATCGTGTTCGACTCGATCGTTGCTGGCCATCGTGACAGAGAACGGGAGCGACATATCCAAGAGCAGGCAAACAGAACACGGGAGCGGCGTATCTAATAAGTCACATCAAACAAGGCACATCAATCGAGGCAGACGACTATCAATCGATGCACCGCTATCAATTCAGAATTCAAAGCCTACATCCATTATCAATTCCAAGCATTCAATTGGCAACGCATGCAATTAGCACCCACAACGAGCGACACACAGTCTCAACGCATGTAATTGGCATCGACAATCTCACATCAAACTTACTGCTCCCATAACATACATAGTCTCAGTTCACACTCTTGCTAAATAACTCACATTTCTTAGTCTCTCTTCACACTCTTGCTGAATAGCTTACATTTCTTACACTGTTCATCTCCCACGACCTCTCCCACGACCTCGTCTATCGTTTAGCCCCGAAACTGTACAGTGCGTCCAGGGATGAACCGTATGTCAGGAGCTGGGGACTTGACAGGGTAGCATTGCCTCCCCATGATGTAAGTTATGTAGATCAGCCTTTCCATCCAAGCTCATCCCTAAAACTATAGAGCATATTTTTTTCCAATGCCTGGGGTCAATCTGGCTTTGGAGATGGTGGGATAGAATCTGGAATCAAATAAATACTTCTCAATCCTGGCCTTGGGAATGGAAAGCCCTTCTATTAGAATCATGGCATCCGAACCAAGGTGACGACTTCACAATCAACATGTTCATAATAGGTAGGAGAGCGATCATATGGACGATCTGGACAAGAAGATGTACCTTTGAAATGGAGGGAGCGCGACTGGACGGACCAGAATTTACTGAAACTATCAAACAGCAGGTTCAAAATGACTAAACTATCAAATGGGAACAAGTTAAAGAAAAAATTCAGCTTCTATCCAAATGAGATTTGGGTTCACATTAATCAATTTAACAGAAGTTGGCTGGGAGGTGATCAGGGTGGGAGGCTGGGGAAAGTAATTTGGGAAGGGGGACACGTAAAAACCCAGGAATCCCTTTAAAAAAAATTTCGGCTTGTCTTTAATGATTGGACTACCGTTGACTCCTCTATTCCTCTAAAGTCCATGGCTGAATTTTATGATTTTTTCCCTCCCCCAAGTAATTGTATTGTGTTCATTGCTTGGTTTGGATAGTTAGCTAGTAAAGTGCTTGGATTTCATGTTTATTTGGCGCCCATTAAGGGTGAAGAGGTGCTATGCTAGTTGACTTCCTTCTGTTGATCATGGATATCAGATGAATTGAGCATTGATCAGTGGATAATTGTTCAACATTGTAGAATTGGCTCATTAGGTTCTAAGCTGGTTCCCACTTGTTACCCCCGGGTAGACTGTGAGGACCTCGGCCTCAATCATCATATTGATAATATCAGCCTTGGGCAATGGGCCCTTTTAAAAAAAAAAAAAAAAAAAA